GGACGGATCGCCAGAGTCCAGCAGGTCAACACTAGGTGGGCGTGAGTGTGCCACAGCACTCCAGCCTGGGCAAGAGTGAGACTCCAACTCAAAAAAAAAAAAAAAAAGTGGAAGAGGGAAGCCAAAGAAAGGGTCAAAAAAGAGATATGATGACAGGAACAAAGTTAAAGTAATGTGATCTGAGAAGAACAGACCACTGTTACCGACTTTGAAGAAGGGGCTGCAAGCCAAGGTATGCTGGCAGCCTCTGGAAGCTAGAAAAGGATTCTCCAACTAGAGCCTCCAGGAGGAACGCAGTCCTGCTGCTCTCCTGATCTTGGCCCATGAAACATGTGCCAGACTTGTGAACTGCAGAGCTGTACAGTGATGTACTTGTGTTGTTCAAGCCACTGAGGTTGTGATAATTTGTTATGACAGTGAACAGAAAGCAAACACTGGAAACATGAGCAACTTTAAACCACGCACACCTCTGCAAGATGGCCAGCCTTTCCGTAGAGAACAGGCTGGAGGAGATACACAGAGGTAGCTCTGAGTCCAGCCTAGAGACCTTGGGCAAGTTTTATCTGTAAAACAGGTACCAAAACACTTACGTCATAGATCACAAAGGTGACATGAGAATCTGCACCGAAAGCACTTACCTTGTATTAAAAACTCAATAAATGGTAGCCACTGTGTTTCTTTTTAAGGCTTTCACTTTTTACTTTTCTACAACTCCATGGAGTATAGTCTTCCCATTTTACAGTTGAGAAAATTAAAGCTCAAGGATATCAGATGAGTCGCTTAAATTATTAAAGGTACTGAGGTACCTCAGGCCTATGCCTTCAAACCATTGGCTCTTTCTACAGAAAAGAAGTCTGTCAAGGTCACTTAAAGGAACGTCATTCTACAAAATTACTTTTAATTATCCAGGTGTGGTGGTACAGTTGTAGTGCCAGCTACCAGGGAGTATCACTAGAGCCCAGGAGTTAGAGGCTGCAGTGAGCGTTGATCACACCACTACATGCCAGTCTAGGCAACAGAGAAAGATCCTGTCTTTAAAAAAAAAATTCTCCTTTATTTCAAGAGAAGCATAAATTAAAACTTCAAATTTTAAAACAGGGAGGCAAGGCACAGTGGTTCATGCCTATAACACTTTAAGAGGCCAAGATGGGAGGTCTGGTTGAGCCCAGGAGTCTGAAACCAGCCTGGACAACATAGTGAGACCTCAGCTCTACCAAATAAATAAATAAATAAATAAATACACACACACGCACGCACACCCACACACACACACACACACAGGAATTTATTTCTATTTTTAAAAGTAAATTAAAAATTAAAAAAGTAGTTCCAGGTACTTGGAAGGCTGAGGCAGAAAGATCTCATGAGCCCAGCAGGTTCGAGGCTGCAGTGGACTTGAGTGTGCCACTGCACTCCAGCCTGGGTGACAGCATAAGACTCCAACTCAAAAAAACAAAAAATAAATAAAACTAACTCTTTTCTCTAAATTGTCCCCAGTTGTGGGAGGGAAGCACTTTACCTGCAATTAAATCTAAATAGAACTAAAAGTAGTTACAATAATTAAATGACTTAGTATGGATGGATAAAAACCAAGAGGTTTATGGACAAAAATTGGGACTACAGAGTGTTAGTCCTAATTGCTAGTAATCCCTGGAAAAGTCTATGGGCTTCTAGAACAGAACATGCACTAAGACCTCCCAAGCATAAATCTTTCTAAAATGCCTTTAAGGTCTGCCAGGCACTATGTTAAACAGCTCATACAAATTCTCATTAATCCTCACTGGCACTCTGAGAGGTAGGCATTACCACCCTGTTTTACAGATAAAGTCCTGAAGGCTTGGAGATGATAACCTAGCAATCTGTCCAAGATCACTTAGTATTTAGGCTCACAACTGGAGAAGACTGTTTTTTTCATCCAAACCCTAGATTTCACAGTCCTGAGCTTCCTTCCACTCTACTGCTTGATCTGGAAAAGTATCTTATTTATGTTTTCAAAAAATCTAAAGAATACATAAAGAATTCTTACAACTAACAAAGAAGACAAATAAATCAACTAAAAAGTGGGCAAAAAAAACTGTTAGACATTTCTCACAGATATGCCTAATAAGCACATGAAAGGATGCGCCACATCTTTAGCCATTAGGGAAACACAAATAAAAAGCATAGTGACATCACTTCATATCCCCTCAGGATGACTGTAAGCAAAAAGAAAGACTATAATAAGTGTTAAGGATAATGGAGAAATGGCAGCTCTCACATTGCTGGTGGAAATGAAAAATGGTGCAGCCACTTTGAAAGACTGGCAGTTTCTCATAAAATTAAACAGAGAATTACCATATGACCCAGCAATTCTACTCCCAGGTAACTACTCTCAAGAGAAATTCAAAGGTGCACACAAGGACTTACTAACAAATATTTACAGCAGCATTGTTTATAATAACCTAAAAGTGGAAATAATCTAAAAGTCCATCAACTGATGACAGTATAAATAAAGCATGGTATATCCATACAATGAATTATTATTTGGCAGTATAAAAGGAATGGAGGACTGATACATGTTACAACCTGGAATAATCACAAAAACAACTGCAGACACAAAAGGCCACATATTGTATGAGTTCATCTACATGAAAAGTCCAGAATAGACATATCTACATAGAAAGCAGATGAGTGGCTGCCTAGGATTGAGGAAAGAGAGGGGAATGAGAATGTTAATTGATACAAAGTTGCTTTTTGGAGTGATGGAGATGATCTACAACAAATTGTACTGTCAATACAATAAATACACTAAAAACCCTTGAAGTGTACATTTAAAGCAGGTGAATTTTACAGTGTAAATTATAACTCAATAAATATTTTTAAAGTCAATATGCATCTTCAAGAATGGTGGGGCCGGGTGCGATGGCTCAAGCCCATGATGCCTGCACTTTGGGAGGCCGAGGTGAGAGGATTGCCTGAGCCCAGGGTTTCGAGACCAGCCTGGGCAACTTGGCGAGACCTCTCTCTACAGTAAACTAAAAAATTAGCCGGGCGTAGTAGCCCGCGCCTATAGATAGTTTCGGCTACTTGGAAGGCTGAAACGGGAAAGATCGCCTGAGACCAGCGGCTCGACGCTGGGGTGGCCGTGAGTGTGCCACTGCACTCCAGCCTGGGCGACAAAGTGAGACCCCGACTCAAAAAAACAAGACTGGTGGGTATGAGCAGGCATTTCTTTCACCTCCCCGCCTATTAAACCACCACCTACACAAAGGAGCCCACATGGCCGCCAACATTCCCCTCCATGACTTGCGTAGGATGAGGATGTACAGGTGTTGCGCGAGCCCTCACAGCACGTTTAGCTTATTAAACTAAAAGATCATTTGAGTTTAATAAGCCAAGTTTTATATTTTTTAAGCCGAAAACCGTTTACACCGTTTCGGGGGGGTGGGGGCGTGTACGGCGGGGACGTCTTGAACATGAAGCGCTCCCCATCTGCAGATTCAGGCCCACAGGCTCACTCTCCCCTAGTGCGAGCAAGTGACAAGGCCCACGGTTAACAGCGGGCCCCTCTACCCCTTCCACGGGGTGGACCTCCCATAAGTGCCTGCCAACCGCCCCCCTGCGGCCTGGAACCTGCGAGTCGTACCTCCTCTCCACCTGCGCGTCGGCCCAGCACGTCCACCCAGCCGCCACCCCGCCGAGCCTTCGCGCCTCGTGCCCTGGAGCCTCGCGCCCTGGAGCCGGCGAGACGGGGCGGGGCCGTGCGGGTCGCCGCAGCCAATGCGCAGCCGGCTGTGGCTGCGCCAAGCGGGAAGCCCCGGGTGCCTGCGGCGCCGCCGGAAGAAGGAGCGCCGGGGCGAGTGACTCTGAGCTGGCAACCCGCCTCTCCCCAGAAATAATGTTGCAGAGAAAGTGGAGCGGGATGAGCGGGCGGGGCGCGCTTCCCGGGTCCGAGCAGCGCACGTGGCGCGCTCCCGCGCCTTC